AATAACAATATGAATGACATAAAATGTAAAGGATAATATAATTTTTATAATTTAAAGAAATCATGACAAATAAAGTAATTGAAAAATATTAAAACTATTTTTCACTATTGTTATAAAAATAGTTGATGTGATATTTAGAAGTTTGGTTATGTCACTAAAGTCAATCAGTTAACTTTAAAGAAAAATTGCTTAATAAAATAAAAAATATATATATTAATTGTAGAATATATGTCTTGAAGAAAAAGTATTGCAGTAGATTTTTTATAAGTTGTAACTTTCATGAACTATTTAATATGAATATATGAGTAACTAATATTAGCAGTAATTATTATACAATAAAATATTAAAAAATATTATTACACCTAATTAATGTAAATGTAACGATTTTTTTCTATAATTAACTGAAAAAAGATCGATTTTTTTTTTTTAATTCTTGAATTGCCTATAATTATAATTATATATATAGGGGCTGGTTCAAATAAAAAATAATTTTGGTGTGAGAATCGTATTTGATGCTATTTTTAATCGTGCATGATGCTATTTTAATATTATATTGTACTATTATTTTCACAAATGCTAACATAAATTGTGTAGCTATTTTTAATCAAATGCATCATGATTAAAAATAGCATTAAAATACAATCAATCATAGTACTAAGTAAATTAAAAATAGCAATTCTCACGGTTCTCACACTAGCACTTGCTAGCCTCATTTTCATAGGGGCTGGTTCAAATAAAAACTAGATCTGGTGTGAGAACCGTGAGAACCATATTTGATGCTACTTTTAATTGTGCATGATGTTATTTTTAATATTGCATGGTACTATCATTTTCACAAATGCTAGTAAAATTTTTATTGTTATTTTTAATCAAATACGTCCTAATTAAAAATAGCACTAAAACACAATCAATCATAACACTACATACAATTAAAAATGACGGTTCTCACGCTAGTACTTGGTTCTCATTTGAACCACATCATCTATATATATATGTGTGTGTGTGAGGAGGGAGTTGTCCTATAGTTTCAAAACGACATTGTACTTACCTATTAGTTGACACAATGTCCATCTTAATTATATGGCCAACTTCTTTATTGTTTTTTAATAAAATTTAAATATAACGTCGGTATCCAATCACGGACTGCCCTTTATATTTTCTTTATTGTTTGATTCTATTTAAGTTCCTATTGTCTTTTATTTGAGCCCTCATTTCCTATTTGATGTTTGGGAAAACGTAACTTTCTACATTATATCGTGNATAGTATTTTAATCCATTTCGAATCTCCTTTCTTCCACTCACTTTTTATCGCCTATATATGAAAAAATTAATGTCACATTAGAAAACCATATACAATGGCACCTCAACCAACATATATATAAAACAAATAAGAAAAATTAAAGGGGCATTTGACTTAATTAACCACAAAATTTGACTGTAGTAATTTTATACGACCGTCACTTGAATCTCTTTGTCCACATCACAAATGTCAAACACACATTTTTTTTTTACTAAAGTAACTGCAGTTGGATATTGTTATGACCATTTTTGTTACGTTTTTCGTAACTGTTTTGTCATGCTTTTTTTCCCGTTTTAGGTCTTTTTGTTAGTTTTTAGTTCGTTTTATATTTTATTATGTGTTTCGCTCTATTTTGGTTTCTATGGGTTTTTCGTGTATTTTGTCAGTTTTTTACGTTTTTCTTCTTGTTTTTAGTGTGCAGGTCGAAAGTCCTGTGAGGAATCAATTTAGCTCGAAAATGAGTCGGAAATTCACGGTTGGATAGATGGGTTCCTTAGCTACACAAAGGAAAAAGCAGAATCCAATTTCGAGTTCGCACGAAATCGAACGGGGCCGAAACGTAAAGTCCAGCAAACTACTGACCCTTTGAAGGTTGGAAGACCCTAGAGGACTGTATTCTGAGCAAAAGTTGAATTGAAAGCAGAATTGCGTATAGGACTTCGTTGGCTACATGTAGGAAAAAACGGAACTCAATTCCGAGTTCGTACGAGTCCAAACGAGCCCAAAACGTGAAGCCGAGAAAGCTGCCCAGCCCAGGCTCGCGCCGCGACCGCGTCGCGCGCGTGAAAGACCTCGCGACCGACCTTCAGAGAACCTGTTGCCAGTGCCGCAGCGTGAAGCCCCTCCACGGCGCTAGGAAGACCTGATCCACGCCGTGAAGACCCTCCGTGCCGTGCCAAGAAGACCCTCCACGGCGTGCTGCACCCTCGCGCCGTGCACCTGGTCCCTCCACTCAATTTTTGCCGGAAATTCTTGCCACTTTTGAGCCACTTCTCCATATTTTGAGGCACTAAACATCATGAACGGAAATTAGGGACTTTTACCAAGATTCTCTACATGTTTTGTGGCTTGAATGGTGAAGAAAAAAGATGGAAAATTCACCTATAAGTATGGCATGGTTTTGGACTAAGAAGGACAACACACCACCGAGAGAGGGGTTCTCCCTCTTTCCCCTATGCTCACTCTTCTCTCATTCCCTCTTTTCTTCTTTCGTTTTTCCTTTCTTCTTCATTTTCCTTTATTTTCTCTCGTGGATGAAGCTTTGTAATTGGATTCAACATTTGGATTAATTGTAAGTTCTCTCTTTAATTAATTCATGAAAAATGGTTAATTTAGGAGAAATGTTATGTTGTGTTGAATTTAATATGTTTGGCTAATCCTTTAGCTAGGGGCTAGGGGATAATCATTCCGATTTGTTCTCATTTATGTGCATGACGATAGCTCAATCTTTGCGAGTTGTTTTAATTAGGTATTGATAAATTTATGCTTGATAATTCGATATAACCTAAGAGTGACACTTAGGAAAATTTATTGATATAATCGAAGAGTGACACTTCGATTTTGCACGATTGAATATTGATTTATTAAGTTAGAGTTTGTTGATTCTACATGATTAGTTGATTAAACACCTTCTAATCAAATTAACGACTTTTAGAACCGAAAGGGGAGGACTCGTAGAATTAATCGATTTCAAAACCGAGAGGGGAGAAATTTGTGGAACTTGGCTTGTTTAGAGTAGACATGTTCGGAGACGTATTGTCTATGTATTAATTGTTTCGTTAATTTGCTCGTTTATGTTTATCCGCATGTTACGAAGAGTTATTGAGGTTAAACCGCTAAATGAGTTAATTAGTCGAGTCTTTTAATCGAGTTATGGATTGCCGATAAATGTGTGTAGAATCGAAAACGATTGTCCCCGATACCCTAGCTCGTTTATCTCCTTGTGACATTTATATTTCTTAGATAGATTTATAATTCTTGTTATTTCTTAGTTCATAATAAAAAACCCATCCTATCTTAATTAGAGTGTTTAGGATTTTATTTTCTATTTTTGTGTTTTGGACAACTAACTAACAAACGAAACTTCAAACTGTCTTCCTTTGAAAGACGACCCGAGTCCGAATAACTCAGTTACTAAATTATCCACCACAAAATAGTGAAATATTAAACAACAATATATAAAACAAACGTTTTTAGACATGCGGTTTTGATTACGAAATATACAGGTGCTCTAAAATTGATATGACACGATTTTGAGTATCTTTTTTATCTACATACATTGATTTTGTAATATGAAAACTAAAATTTTGTCTATGACTAACTTTATTTTGGTTCATATATATAAATATATACTATATGAAATCTAATTTATTTATGCAGAAAACTAGAATTCAACTTCAAGTACATATTCTTATGATAGAGAGACTAGGTATTACATCAGCCTAATTGTTTGACATTTTTTTTTTCTTCACAAATATGCATACTTTCAATAGACAATATCAAAGTATAAAAGTAGCATATAGAAATATTTTTGAAAATATATGTATACATTTTTGTTTTCATAATATGATGGATTGACCGCCTAACGATTAACCAATTTATAATACTTTTTAAGAGAAAATGTTTGTTTCAACAGGCTACATTAAAGAGAAAAAAAANTCCCATAAATTATTGTCAAATTCTAAAAATAAGTTCAATTTATTTTACATTTTTTTAATAAACATGATATTTTCATATATTTTGGTTCAAACTACACTTTGATATAAACGTCATTGATTGTATCTACAATTATTAAATCTATAAAGTAATTTCATTAGAGGACAAATGCGTCAATTACTACAGCGCGATAGCTAAAAACTTGAGAATTGATTCTTCTCATTTATGGCAATTGAAGAAAATTAATCCTTATGTTAGCCAATGGAGTTAGCTGCTAGTTTTATTTTGTTTATTTCTGTTTTAATTTTTCTATGTGGTGTAATTACAAACCCAAAAAATGTGGACTGGTCACTATTGGTGAATAGTAGTTTCACATTAGTTTCCCATATCATAGCAAAAGGGGTAAAAAAATAAATTTGTCTTTCACTTAAAAAGTTCATCAAATTAAAAATATTACCATAAGAAATTATATGAGACAATGACTCTCTTATGAAATCATCAGAGAATGAATGTACTAACATTTGTTTAAATTGTATTTATTACATAGTTTTTGAATAATTGTGAATGACTTATAAATTGTATCATCCGATAACTCCACAATAATATTTGAATAATTGTGAATGACTTATAAGTTTTATCGTCCGATAACTCCATAGTAAAATTGATATGACCATTAAAGTTATAATCCAGCAAGAATGCAAGACAGTCATTTGATTGAAGAAGCTAGGGAAAAAATAAAATTTACAAATCAAGAATTGGAAAACTGAAAACAAATTTGATGAAGTGCATGGTAAACAAACAAAACAATGCAAGAAAATAGCAACTGTAGACTGACAAATGCCCATGACATGATAGGGAAAAGGTTAGAAAAAGGAGTTATCAATATTCAGCCGCTTTTTTATTTCCCTATTGATTTAGCCTCATTTTCATATATATATATATATATATATATATATATATATTTTATATATTTATTCGCTTTTTCAACTATTCCTCTCCCCTTTTATAATCTCCTCAAGCCTGAGGTCCTCAACTGCCTCTCTCTCCTCTCTCTCTCTCTCTCTCTCAACCCCTTCCTCGGTTCCTCCCTTCATAAAACACAGGCAGATACAAATATATTAATAAAATCGCTTTGGGTTATGCAAACCCACGTTAAAGGACCTATTTTTTATGGATTTATTACACTCTCCTTGGTACTTGTAGTTTCTGTCTCTAGCCTTCCCCTCCATCTCTGTATATATTTGTGTATATATTCCAGTTTATGTATAGTTTTATCCTTATATTTATATTGGGAGGTTGAAAATTTTTGTCTTTCAGGTAAAGGGAAAATGGGCTCTTGGTGCTAATGTGGGCTTAATCTTTTGCTATTGAAAGCGAACATTAGCTATGGAGGCTTCTTCTATGGAGGGTAAAAATTCAATCTTTTTGGATTTCTTATATATATCCTTCGTCTTGGTTGTTCTTGTGCTTTTATTGAAGGATTGTTCTGGTTTTTCATAACGTTTGATGTAAAAAAAGTGTTCTTGTTTTTTTTTTTCTTTTCTTTTTTGCTTTTATGGGATTTTAGAATAATGGGATGTTGGATTTCATGGTCGATCTGTTTGGTGGCGTGATTTCTCCCTTGATTTGGTTGTTTGCTGAATTGATTATATTGTTATATTTAATTTATTTCTTGGATGATATTGACACCACAGAGGCAGACACGCATGCTCACACACTCACGCACACACTCCATTGCTACTTTTTTTTTTAATCCTTTTTGTGATGTATTTTTATTTGCCTTTTCCTTTTCATGTTACCAAAAAAACGTCTACAATTCAAGAATTACCTACTGTATTTTTTTTTGTTTTAATGCTTCATTTTGTGTTTTCAAATTTGCTTATAAGAAAAAAAGTGATCAACGCAATGGTTTCAAGCTGTCATTTTTCTTGATGTCATCGATATATTTCGCGTGGACTTTGAAAGATGGTTGGCTATGGTTGTTGAAGTCATTCGTTCAAAAATTCTTGGGTCGATGTTACATTTTCTCTTTTCTTAGAGCATGCCGTAATTTTCTTTTTCTTTTTTCCTTTTTTATGGGGAAGGGAGTTCATCGATCAGATTATGCTTCCGTGTACTAATTTTTTTTTTTTCTTTCAACTTCTCTGAATGAACAATTTTGACGTTTTATCAAATATGCCCATTCTTAAGTTCTTCTGGTCTTTAGTTTTTGGGTTTGGAGTAGTTTCACTGACAATGTAGTATACACTTCCTGTTGATTATATTGATAAATGGTTATTTTCAAATTTCATACATTAGCATAGGACGGAAATGNCTTTGATCTACATCTAAAGGGTACCATAGAGATAAATATCAGAACTGATGATTTACACTACCGATAGCTTATCTACTGCCGTCTACTTGAGATACTAAGGAAGAAAATTTTGCGATTTGGTTAGCAACATTTTTTCAATTCTTTCCCCTGTTGCCATGATGATCCCTTCTTTCTTTGAGATTGAGTTATTTTCATTGTTTGGTTGCTCTGTGATTTCATTTAAGCTTCTTATACTGCATGTGTATAAGGGAAAAAAAGATATTATTCTTCCATCATTAGGATATGTTGTGCATGATAATTTCAAATCGATCCTTTATGTTTCTTTTCTGTTTATAAATAATAAATCTGTTATTTGAATGTTCATAATCATGTAACAAGTAATAATTATTTGGGAGACTGCGTTGTTATATTTCATAATCACTGTACATTTTTTGATAACTTCTTCTTCTTTTTTTTTTTCTTTTCCTTTTCTCTTGTGAACACAACAGTGCTATTTGATCCATCAAAGTGCAGCAAGTTAAGCATAGATCAAAAGAGAGAACTTGTTTATGAACTCTCAAATTGGTCAGATGGGGCTATCGAAATTCTTCACACTTGGAGCCGTCATGATATACTGCAGATCCTCTGTTCCGAGCTCGGTAAAGAACGCAAGTACACGGGCTTAAACAAGACGAAAATAATCGAACAACTTCTCAAAATCATCAACGAAAAGAAACCACACGATCAAGTGCTAAAGAAATCCGAAGAACCCTCAGAAAACGATGAGAGAACTTCCAAAAGGCTAAAGAAATCCGAACAACCCTCTACTGATGTGCGCCCGGATAACAATAACAATAACAATAACATCATTGTGTATTGCAAAAATTCAGCTTGCAGGGCTAAAATGAGCCGTGAGGACCCCTTTTGCAAGAGGTGTTCTTGCTGCATTTGTTACAAGTATGACGATAACAAGGACCCGAGCCTCTGGTTGGTTTGCAACTCAGATTCTCCTTTTTGTGGTGCGTCTTGTGGATTATCGTGCCATCTCGAGTGTGCCTTGCGGCACAAGAATTCCAAGATTGGCAAGGATAAGCAGGATAATGAGTCATCACTTGATGGGAGCTTCTGTTGTGTGTCTTGTGGGAAAGTGAATGATTTGCTTGGGTAAATATTCTATTTTTATTTATTTATTTATTTCATTTCTGGTGCATTTTCCTATATATTCTGTTTATCTTGGTTATAATAATAATACAGTTCTTGGAGGAAGCAATTGGTTGTGGCCAAAGACACGAGGAGGGTCGACATATTGTGCTATAGGCTTTCATTAGCCCAAAAGATTCTTGCTGGTACTAAACTCTACCAGAATCTGTGTGGAGGCATTGATGAAGGAGTGAGAAAGCTCGAAAATGAAGTGGGCCCTCTAACTGGCCTGCCTGTGAAGATGGCCCGTGGTATCGTGAACAGGCTCTCGTCGGGCCCTGAAATTCAGAGACTATGTGATGCCTCTGTGAAGTCTCTCGACTCGATGCTTTCTGAAAGATCATCTGAAATTCCTTCTGGTAACTCTCTCTCTCTCTCTCTCTCTATCTCTCTCTCTCTCTCATTTTACAATTGAGTTAATTTGCCAATCATTACCAAATGCCTTTATGTGTTTGCAATGGCTGAGTTGCATTTTTAGTCCTGCTGGTTTAACGTCATAGCAATTTTAGTCCCAATATTCTAACATTTCGCCTTTTGGTCTTGTGATTTAGTAGTATTTTTCCGCAATTTTAGTTTTGTTAGGACTGAAATTGCAACAAAATTTCCAAATTTATAGATTTTTTATTAGCAATTTCAGTCCTATTATTTAAACTTTTGTTGCAAATATTAAATCACTGGACGAAAAGGCAAAAAGTTATAACCTCGGGACAAAATTGCCATGGCATAAAACCAACATGGCTAAAAATGCA